TTATTTGTTCCTGATAGAATTTTGTTTTTNCACTGCACAATTTTCAATACAATAAATGACATTGCCACAAATTTATATAAAAATTTAACTCAATTTAAATCCAATTGAAAGCAATTCATTTCAATCAGAATGTTTTTTGGTCTGTAAATGGTTCAAGTGTGTTCTACATTAGGATATTACAGTAACGCAGCCCTCATTACGTAAAGTAATTGCCAATATCAATTTGTGTCATTTGGTTCTAAAGCCCTGTGGTATTTAACTAATGGCCTATAAAAATAGTTTCTATTGATGACTATACTATAGAGTGTATCAATCAGTACTAAGTGTTAGGTAAGATTGGATATTGGGTCATAAATACCTCGATTGGTCAGTGAATTCAAACATGGATACTTATCATTTTGTTACAAAATTTGATGCCTTAGTCGATAGGGTTTTAAAATTAACAAAGGTCCCACTTTCGGACGTACTTGCTGTGTTTTTGAAAAGGATTACAACTTATAGCGCCTTAAGACTGCTTGGCTGATAGGGGTTTAACACTGACATGGCAACTGACTCTCTAAAAGACTCAAAATTATTTTTTCTCCCTTGAGGATTCGAATCATTGATGCCTTACAATGCAACTCAATACTGACTGAACTAGTCTATCCTATTGTCACACAAGATTATAAAGACAATATCGTATTGCAAAGTTCTTTTGTAGTTTCTTTTACATGAAATTTGTAATTGAAAATTATATATATATATATATATAAGTAATACGCACTTCAGATGAAAGTGAAAGTTAAATTGTAAAAAAAACAAAATGATATTACTTATAGGTAGACAGTTTTAAAAACCTATATCTACAGCAAGCTATATACAAGATCTTAGATAGATTTCAAATGATTTCACTTGTGAGTTGTCAGTAGACTGCCAGCAAGCTATATACAAAATCTTAGATAGATTTCAAATGATTTCACTTGTTAGTTGACGGTAGACTGCCAGCAAGTTATATACAAAATCTTAGATAGATTTCACTTGTTAGTTGTCAGTAGACTGCCAGCAAGCTATATACAAAATCTTAGATAGATTTCAAATGATTTCACTTGTTAGTTGACGGTAGACTGCCAGCAAGCTTTATACAAAATCTTAGATAGATTTCAAATGATTTCACTTGTTAGTTGTCAGTAGACTGCCAGCAAGTTACATTCAAGATCTTAGATAGATTTCAAATGATTTCACTTGTTAGTTGTCAGTAGACTGCCAGCAAGCTATATACAAAATCTTAGATAGATTTCAAATGATTTCACTTGTTAGTTGTCGGTAGACTGCCAGCAAGCTATATACAAAATCTTAGATAGATTTCAAATGATTTCACTTGTTAGTTGTCGGTAGACTGCCAGCAAGTTATATACAAAATCTTAGATAGATTTCAAATGATTTCACTTGTTAGTTGTCGGTAGACTGCCAGCAAGCTATATACAAAATCTTAGATAGATTTCAAATGATTTCACTTGTTAGTTGTCAGTAGACTGCCAGCAAGTTATATACAAAATCTTAGATTTCAAATGATTTCACTTGTTAGTTGTCAGTAGACTGCCAGCAAGCTATATACAAAATCTTAGATAGATTTCACTTGTTAGTTGTCGGTAGACTGCCAGCAAGTTATATACAAAATCTTAGATAGATTTCAAATGATTTCACTTGTTAGTTGACGGTAGACTGCCAGCAAGTTATATACAAAATCTTAGATAGATTTCAAATGATTTCACTTGTGAGTTGTCAGTAGACTGCCAGCAAGTTATATACAAAATCTTAGATAGATTTCAAATGATTTCACTTGTTAGTTGTCGGTAGACTGCCAGCAAGTTATATACAAAATCTTAGATAGATTTCAAATGATTTCACTTGTGAGTTGTCGGTAGACTGCCAGCAAGTTATATTCAAAATCTTAGATAGATTTCAAATGATTTCACTTGTTAGTTGTCAGTAGACTGCCAGCAAGCTATATACAAAATCTTAGATAGATTTCAAATGATTTCACTTGTTAGTTGTCAGTAGACTGCTTTGAATTGAGTTGTAAAAACTAGAATTGCCTGAAGTCAAAATCTAATTGAACAGTTAAAAATGAAGGAAGCTAGTAATAAGAGACCTACTGGCAGATTGCCTTAGTTTTTTTCAATGATATTTCTTGGCTTGTAAGATTATACTGCTAGTAGGGGATTTCTAGTTGATTTAAGTCTTTGAACACTGAAACAAGATTCTTTTCTTCTCTAATTAGTATGAAGTTAATATTTTTCAACCAAGGTTTAAAATATTGCTGTGTATTCTGGAAAGGATGTTAGTGCCAGGATTACCCAGGTTCTTAACACCTGCTTACACTGTTTCCACTTTCGAGGATATCTTAGCGCTAAGATTGTTTCGAGAAAACAGATACAGTAATCTGATTGGATCAAAAAACTAAATTTGAAAAACCAATTTAGTAATTAACCAATCAGATAAGTAAAGTTTCCAGAAAAGGGCCCACGGGTTGTTTTTTTGGCTTACAAGGTTTAACTGAAATGTTATTCACAGATTTATGTTGCTATTGTTTTTCCTGTTAATCTTTTTAAATTGCATAATATAATAACCTTTATATATTGTTTATTTAGTCTAGTAAGACCTATTGAAATTTGAATTTTGCCTCAAAGTGTTGCCAAAATAAAATAACTATTATTATTATTATTATTTGTGTATTTTACAAAAGGTAATAGCACCACGGAGCAGTATTATTTACTGGATTGAAGGTGCTCTGCTAAGCATTATATTATAATTATATTATTATTATTATTTTTTTTTTTGACAGAACCCGGTGGGGCAATAATCCCTATACAAGGGGCTCATATAGTTTTCTAGCTATTGGTGCTCGTCAGAAAGATATAATGACATTACAAGAACCACTTACTGCCGGTGATGATGAAAAGGTAGGTAACTCTTAATATTAACGAGCTCTTCAATAACCAATTGTCTCCGGTAAGATATGACTTCTATGGTTTGATAATCTATATTATATGTTATATAATCATGTGAAGAATTTAAGTGGGATAAGGGAACAAGCAAAAAGTGCTGAAAATGCCATTCTAATTACGGTCTATATTGTCAAGAGCTAATAATAAAAAAAAATTATTATACTGGATCATTATGAAATTAATTTACACTTTCAGCCGCGAGTTTTATTTGCCGGTGAAGCTACCCATACAACATTTTATTCTACTACCCATGGTGCACTACTAACAGGATATCGCGAGGCTCAACGTATTGTTAAGATGTATACAGATCAGTAGAACTAGAGAATTAATTAAATAATCATTTATTTTTATTCTTAATTATGTTCATTGATGAGTCGGCACCACAGGGCTTTGAGAATTGGATGCATTCGGAATCCACAGGGACTTGAGGACTGAATGCATGGACAGACTATGCATGCAAAGACTAGAGAAGTCAGTATATGTTTTCCAAATGGAAACTAGGTGATTTAAAAGAGACAATGAATGCAGCCTTGTGGACCCTCTAGAGTGAAAAGAACTGAGCAAATGAGAGGCATTAGGTGAAGGAGATTTTATATTCGAGAAGTGTACGATTTTAATATAAAAAGTGCATTTATTTTATCTTTAGACATTCAATGTCCAGAGAGAGTTATTGCCCTTGGGGCTGATTCATCAATGTATTATAGTTTTATGTTATATTAAGAAAGTGTATAATAGAAATATAAGTACTAGATAAAAATATCCAATATTTTGCTGATCTTTGGATATTTTTCTTGCCAAGTCATTTAGATGTCTTACAATTCAAGGGAATTAACTCCACTCACAAATTAAGGGAATTAACTCCAACCCACAACGACTTACTCAAGTCCCATAACCCATTGCGCTTATTCGATTTTGATTTTATTCCTTATTTTTTGTGTTTTAAATATTTATTTAACGCACAACATAATGGTAATAATATACTATTGTTAACAAGGCTAGAAATAGTTTGTCACCCCTCAACCCTGTAATGAACTCTTCTGCACATGCACTCAATATGATGCAGTAGAGTATGTTTGGAATAGTTCATTTGTTGAAACGGGTGTTTTTGCTAAATATATTATTTCCAGCCTTGGATGTTATGCATGAGAATTTATCATTTTATAATGCATTTTATTTTGTTTTAGGGTAGGTGTTCAAATCAAAATGGTTTGTTTCATTGTTTTTCATCGGTTCTTACAATTACCCAATTAAAACCAAGCTTTTAATCTTATGCGTTATGATTTTATCTGGTAAAAGATTTTGAACTCACTAAGGTTTTAACAAAATTTTAACACTTTTCTGTATGATCTTTTTTTAGATTTGTACACTTAGTAAAAGGAGCTTTTATAATGGGTCAAGAACTATGCCAGTGTTTCTCTCAAACTTTGCCCTAAAAATATTTATTAAAAATTTGAACACAGATAACGGCCCACTTAGTCTATTATGCCTATGACTGTATACCATTTATTTGTAGTAAGCTATCCCTAGAATCCTTCAACAAACTAAGAACTGACTAATAAGTGTAAATCCCTCAATGATGAAACCTCATATCCAAGCCTTATTTCATAATGTATTAGTATAATTTGATAATTAATGAAAGTATGAGCATTGAAATGAACTTTAAAATACTTTAATTTGGAATATAACTTAGTATAAATATCTGTCCAAGTACATCTTTTAGCTACTGCTTTTAAATTCAAGGTTATTGAAAAATGTTCAGTGAATACGGTAGTGGAAGGTAAGATTTAACTAAAGTATTGGTGTTAAATTGGACTGAATCTAGTTTTTTCTACATTTACCATCAATTTAACACAATACTTAAGGCAAAAGGCACATTATAGTTTCCAGTTTACACCCTGGTAACAATGCAAACTTGAACCCTGCTTTGGATATTTAAAAGAGTTTTAGCACTAGACTCTGATGTATCCGAACAAGTTGTATCCACATTAAAAGCTAGTTTAAAGTTTATTATAAATGTCTAATGAATGTTTGTAGTCTTGAGTTATATTATAAAATGTATTTAGGTATATGTATTAATGTATGTAGATTGTTATCATAAACTGAACCTCCTTATTTCTTAAATATTGGAAAATTTTCATTTTTCTTGTAATATCTCAATAAATAATAATTATCATACTTATTTGAAATATATCAATTAAAATTAATACTACATCGTCTTCATTAGTCTAATCAGATTTCAGATAAGATATAAAACTTCATTATTTTTTACAAAACTGCCATTACTAGCATTTTAATAAGGTACTAAAACTCTGTTTGAATTTATAAAATTTTGCATAGAAAGCATAAAGGAAATCCTACAAAAACTGTCTATACAATCTATACAAGTGTGTATTTCTTTGCAAGATGAAATTATGCAAAGATTTGAAAGGAAGTTTCTTAGCAACTTGAAGCATTTCACTTTCATGCCTGATGTCTGTGGTTCCTGTAAATTCCAAAACACAGAATAAAATTATGATCTTTCAATAGAGAACATTTAATCCAAAGATGCAAATTGGCAATTATTATCAAGCAAATATAAAACATAAAAGTCCCTGATGCACAAACAATGACTAGAAAAAAAATATATTTTGTATCCTTTGAAATGGTTCTGTGATCTATTAGATTCGATTCTGGTACATGTTTGTAAGAAAAGAAGGATTAGACAACTTGCAATACTATATTCAACTTGGATGATACATGATGCACAATATTTAACTAAGCCTTATTGTTTCTGTAGAAAACTTTGTTTTATTTCTGTAGATTTTATGTAAAATAGAGACTTTGTCCGAATGTTTTAGCTCTTGTTTTCACTTGTTCATTTCTAATTTTGGCCGATTGATACTAAATTCAGTAAAGTTTTTGGAAAGTGAAAACAGGAGGTATATAATGATCTTATAGTATTAGGTGTTATAGTTTAGATGTATGTAATAAATGTTATTATTTACTGGACAGCCTATTTTTATAGTAGGGTTATAGATAGTGTAACTGTCATTATTTCCCATACAAATCTATACTAGATATCATCGTCTGATAACCTAACAACCCTTGATCTTTCTTGGACTATTCTGCATGTGCATATTAAAACAAAACAGATAGAAGTTTAGTATATGCCTTGACTTTGTATGTTAATGGAACAGATCATTAGATGGGTTGAATACATTTCAAAGCTGAACTTATAATATTTTCTGATTCAAATAGAATGTGTGACATTTCAAGTAAATATATCTATAAAAGGCAACACCATGAAACTGTATTTGAATCAGATAATAAATTTAAGTGAATTAATTATATAACAACATATCAGCATTGCTATCCTTATTAGATAAATTGTCTTGGTGGAAATTTGTTAAACTGGGGGCTATTTAAATATTAAGTAGGTCAAAGGTAATCATGCACATGCATTTTGATGTTTTCAAACTAACAGGAACAGTCTACTATTTTCAGAGGTGTTACCACTTAGTATCTAAGACTGATTCTTGTATTCTTAGAAACGAATGTGCTTGAATACTTAGACAAACAAAATGCACACACAGCCTCTCTCTTACTAAGGGAAGATTTTCATTCAATTCTATCCAAGATGGTTGATGTTTTTCACCTTGATGGTTAGTGAAGTTGACTCTTTTCTCACCATGAAGACTAATTCTATTTAAGGATATTTTTATACTGGTGATACCAATATCTTTCTCTTAAAGTAACCAGCCTGCTTGACATAGATTGGTTCTAAAAACAAAATTTCTCCTGATCACATTGATCACTTGATTTTGAAGGGGCTGGGATCACAAGGGTCTTGTTTTTTGACTGGTGTAATAAACTGAGGCTCTAGGCACTAAGATTCTTGAAAGTTTGGATTCCAAAATTCCATATGATGATGCTGCTGTTTGGCACCTTTTCCCTTATTGCAGACTGAATAAGACTGCCTTGTTTAGCCCAGTTAAAATCAATGCCCTGCATTTTGGAATATCAAGGCCCACAGGCAACAGGCTGGTTATAAAGTGATACTCAAATGAACTCCAAGTAGGTCCTAATATTCCTTAGGAACCTTCTTCCACTTACACTGGTGATGTACATCCTTGAAGTCCTGTTTGTTTCAAACCCTAATCCAAAACGGTTAAATATGGTTTTATTATAGTTTGTACAGTAAGGGTTTGTATTGGTGTTTGAAACAAACAGTATAGTAGGTCAAATGTATTTATGCACATCCATGGTCTTTGAGCTTGACTAGTCCACTTTATTTTGAGGTTGTATAGGTAGTAATGAACACTATATAAGCCTGACTTGTAAGCATAGCTTGTATGGATTCAACTTTCACCTCGAAACAAAATAGACTGGTCCTATTCATTGTTTGAAATGCCTTAGGATGTTAATAATTATTTTGACCCAACTATACATATTAAATCTAAAAGTATTTTGTATTGTGTATAATCATTAGACTAGTTATTTATGTATATAATCATCCTATAGTCTCTCATTCTTAGTATGTTCTATCAAATAGTTAATATATATTACTGTATTTAAAACATAAGATATATGGCTATACTACTTCTAAATTTATTATACTGCGTTTCAAAATACATACAGATAACATCATCAAGGAACACCATATCTTAGTGTTTTAGTGTAACCTTCCTAGTTCTATATATATATATTCAATTTGAAGTAGATGAGTGCCCTAGGTTACAATCCTCTGAAAAGGGGCAAGTTTGTGGACTCTGTAACCCAAAAATTGTCCCTCACCCTTACTTAGCCTTGGTCTAAAACTTGTTGACCCTTATTTAGTACCTTTCTTATTTCTATGTACCAAACTGAGGATTTGAGCAGTAAGTTAGTCTTGGTCCTCAAACTATCTGGCTCTTACTTAGTATCTAATAGATAGGATTGACAGTTTTGGGCTAGTGTAGAATCAGAAGTTAATTTTCCCTGTATTCCCTGTGGGGAACTTGCTAACTAATTTGATTCAATAACATATGTATAATTTTCTTATTTTTTCATGCAATATCATGTAATATCATGTAATATCATGTAAGATAAGAGTGAGCAAAATTTGCATCACTGTCTATATTTTAAAAATGTCTCTATTCAAGTTGAACCCTGTCAGCTAGGCACTTTGGTGATACTGTATATTTGTGAGTATAAAGCTCAGGTTTTACCCCAACAAGGTCTTGCAAAACTAGGGGAAGACAGTTCTAGTATCAAGGCTTCACGTTGACCCACAAACCTAATAACTGACTTTAAAAAATCCAAGTTAATGTATTAAAATAACAAGAAATGTTTTCAATGTATAATTTGAATTTTAAAACAGTAGCCATTGAAACCATCTCATTAAAATACAGTTGTTGTATTATCTTTCATTTATACTTTATAAAACATGTCAATCTGTACTTTTAGATTCTATTCTACAATACCCTTGAACCATTTCAATTTTACTTATTAATATAGCCCGATAACTCTAGCTTTAACCATTGCCTCTGATTTATGATTAATGTGATCAATATAGGGCCAGTGTTTTGGGACTATCATAATTGTTCAGGCTTTCTACTGTTTCTGAATGCATTTGAAATTTTAAACTGTTGATGTTTATAAGGAACACTGGAAACAATTTACACCATTCCAATTTTCAGTCAGACGTCTGTTGTTCCTGAAATTCCACTAAGATTAAATTTGATGAAGTCACTATTACAAAATCTGCTTATATTTTATAAAGCCCTTTGCAATAATGCTGTCATTAAAGGACTAGTTTGAGTGGAATTGCAGGAACCACAGATGTCTGATTGAAAAAGTGGAATGATGCAAATCGAGGCTAACAATGTCCCCTATACACATAAAAAATTTAAAAACCTCTTTACAATCTCTTTTAAGATTTGTTCATAATGCATATATGGAGTTTCATATTACTTATTGTCATTAAAAACAGATGATTATATGAGTAAAAATTAAGTATGAATTTGTTAACCTTTTTCTCTCATGAGATATTTTTTGAATCCTAATGGGGGTAGAAAGATAGCAGATTGAAATTTTAATGTATTTTTCGTTTTGGTATGTCATTATGCATAAATTCACTTTATTTAGATTAACCATTTGGTTGAATTCAGTAGATTTCTATATATTATAAAATATTTATGAGATATCATATCCCTAATTTTGTAAAATATTAAATAAGATATATCAAATGTTATTATAATTTATCTGTAGAGGATTAAATATTACATGTTATATAAATAATTAATATATAAGGGATACTGTCATCTAAATATTTGCTTCATCAGCTGATAGATTTTAACCCCAGCTATCTGTGTGCCTTTTCAGAATCAAATTCTGATGATTGGTTTATCTACAATTTTTGACAAATTCGAACTGATGACAGTACAAAAGCTTCAAAGCTATGTAGATATTTCAGATACAGAAAGTTGTAATTGAGCTTTCTGAAATTAAGGCAAATATTTAGATAACTTGATTATTTAAGTCATTTTGTTTCAAAAGTTCTTTAAGGCATTAATTGTGATAATGCAAGATCTTTCTAAACATAATGGTATATAATGGAACTCATTTGATATCACAGTTTGATTATCCAAATGCCTTAAACCTCATCATAATATCTTCAACATTTATTCAATTCTTATATTCATTGTAACAACATTGTATTAATACCTCTATTAATGTACATTGTTACATAACCTTCACATGTTAAGGTCAATACAGAGGCGTTTGATGTGAAGATGCCTCTTTCATTTGGTGAAATTGCCTTGATTTCAGAAATGCCTCTGTTAACTACATAGCTTATGTGGCTATTACATTAACAACAGAGGCATGATACAATAGAGGCATTGTAAGATTTAATGCCTTGGTGTTATATTATTATAAATGTAATGCCACCATTACATAATTGCCCCAGAATATTAAGGTATTACTATATTCAATACTTATTTATGCCACCATTACATAATTTCTCCGTATTAAGGTATTGCTAAGCCCCCCCCCCTCTATTAGATGTTATAGTCTACTGTACTCTGTATCATAATTTATTGTCAACTACGTTGTATTTTGGGATGAGTGAATTCAATAAAGTTTCAACTATACTGTGTTTTTGATCAGCATTGGTATGACAAGATTTCAAAAGTTAGACCATATACGTTGGTGGTATAGGTCAACATGCGTTTTTGATGAACCTTGAGAATGCTTAGGGTTAGTTATGTTGACTAGGGGTTGGAGGTGACTTGGGCGAATGTCAATTTAGCACCAAAATTCTTCATAAGCCAGATCGGTAGCTTTACTTTAGAACACAAAACTGAATAACTCAACAGTCTGTGAAGCGTAGCCTAGCGTTCGATCGTAATCCGTTAATAAGTGCACGATATATACAGACTAGACTAACACAATTTTTATATTTTTCTGCATTAATGTATTGCCGAAGGATCATCATTTTTTTATATTTATGTAACGACATATCTTTTGACCCAATTTATGATCAAAACCTTCAAAATTTTTACATCGATTTAGGTGTACTAGTTATACTTAGATTTCGAACTTAGACACGTGCATCCCCACCCGGATACAGACGTATAATATCTGAGTTTATATTTGTCTGTGTAGAAAAAAAAAGGCATCGCCTTGGGGAATGTTGTTATATGCCTTATATAACAATTGATCATCGTAAAGATATATCACAGTTCAGTGCAGATGTACCCCTTTCAACAGTCGAAAACCTGATGATGGTGACTTTTCTGGATTCTGAAAGAGAAGTTAGCTGATAATTGCCATTACAAGTAACAGACAAAAAGATTTGAACAGCTACCCATCAGAGACATGGTATGCCCATCGAGTTTGATATTTTTAGGAGCTCGGTATCGATTTACTGGTAATGAGATGTATGGGAGAGAACTCTTGTTTTGATGACTTCAGACAACATTTATGTTATCGGTTTTATAAAAATACTTCATACCCACGGGGCACATTTAAACCATAAAATAATCTATGCGGATTTGAATTAAAAGCATCCAAAGGGTGTATGAAGATCGAGTTATTGAGCTGAAATAACAATTGAATGTATATTTTTGTGTCAGGACAAAACTTAATAATACTCATTTTAACTCGGCAACAATACTTTTATTGGACAACAGATTTAGGAAAAGAAAGGCCCGTGCCTTAAGCTGCGTTTAGACAGCCACAAAATATCCGGGCCTAGTCCAGAGTACGGTTCACTTCAAGCTCGCTAATATTTATGGATGTGTAAACGCGGCTTTAGATCCGAGGCGTTTTGTGTACTTTTTTCAGCGTCTGAGAATGCTAACGCCATGTTATTTCTTACTTTTATTAAAACAATTCATACATAAATTAAATAAATAGTTATTCATGAAACAAAAACAAAGTTATCGACTATTATTATGTCCCTAATCAGTTTAAATTGTTGAATCGTTTCACTACGATGAGAAAATCATCTGTATGAATTAGGCCACGCAATAGTTCATAAATCTCCAACGATTCGTCAAGAGTCGTTTTATATGCTTGTTATTGGGAACAAACCATGTGGCAATTACAAGTACAGTTTCCTCGTGAAATCGAATTGTCTGCAATGGAAATATTTTCCATAATATGATAGTCTTTAGATGGTAAAATATCTTCTGTTCTCGGCTGATAATTTATTGGTCTAATTTGAGTAAATGGATAGTCTTGTGTTTCAAATTCACACTGAAAAGGAACCACTTTGATCTCGTTATTATCGGTTTTCATCATGGGCAATAACGTTGGACAATACTCCGCTGAGCTATTGTCATGTGAAATTGGTTTCGATCTTTTTCTCTGAAGATATTCTAGAAATTCCTCCGGACTTAATTCATTTAGCGCAAATACGTTGATAATATTTTCTATGGCTCTTTTATTTTCTTCAAATCCCCCTTTTCTCAAGGTCTCGTCTTGCTCTTCAGTCTCCATCTCAGATATTTCAATCTTTTTGTTTTCTTTTCCACTGATAAGAGATGGTCGTTCATGAATTTTGTAGGCTTTCTTTTCATCAAACTTTATTTTCTTTGGACTTTTCTCTGTAGTCTTATCGACTTGTTTATTGTAGGGAATAAACCCTCGCCTTGTCATTATTCCAGGTTCTTTCGTATGTAAATCAATCTCATCGTCTGAATTGTCGAAATCTTCTCGATAGCTCTTGAATAGAGGATTAGGATTCGTTTTACGACTTGATTTTGACTTGCAGAAAGATTTCCTTCTTGTCAGAACTTCACATAAAATTTCTGGGTTGCCTCTTACAAATGACGGATGGGAGAACTCAAACACTGATCCCTCATGATTCCAATCAAAACCATATTCTCGAAACAGACGTCTAATGTTGGCGAAATCTGGAATCTGTAGAAATCCAGGGTAGCAATCCATGACAACATCAGCAAAACCCTCTTCATCAACAAAAACGCTGGTTCCATTTTCATTCCAGCGAATCAAATAATCATCGGAGGCAACTTCATACAACTTTTCGGGGAATCTATCAGTTTTTACGGCATTCGAAAAGCCAAATCTGAACTTGGGTGCTAATGTTTTTGGCATTTTCTGTGTTTTCAGAAACTGGAGAGTATTACAAACTGTTGAACTTCGTCTGCTTCCAGGCAAAACAAATTAAAAATGCCGCGCGGCGAAATTTGACAGTTGTGTAAACATCAAATTACGTCATCAATTTGTGTGTTGACGTTATAACTAGGCCAATAAAGGAACAGAACTCGGTGTGCACAAAATTGGTGGCATTTTATATAATGTTCTTTAGATTAATTAAAGAAAATTGATAGGCCTATAATAAAGAATGGAAATTGATAAATTCTCTGTCCATGAACTGAATAGGGTAGATAAAGGATCCTTTTATAGGCCCTAAAATAAATGAAATGGAATTTTACGTCTTTATGAAGCCACACGGTTTAAATTTAATCTTATTTGATTTTTTTTTAATCATTTTAAAGTTTTATCTAGTGCTATAATTATTGATCAATCCAAGGTACGAAATTTGATTATGACGTTTCCAACTCAACGTCTTTAGAGCATTGTTTAGATTTTTACTGAAAAGTCACGCTGCAATTTACAGAGAAAAATACTTTGTTGTCTTTTTGAACATTCGTTAAGAAAAAGATGACAATTTTGTAAGTATTCTTTCAGTTCTTTAATGCCCTTTCCTTCAATTCGTTTCCTATTGTACAGTTTTAGAAAATTATAAGCAAATGAAGTGGGCTTAACCTGCGAAGTAACGAACTTACTGTATTGTGATATGCCTACAGGACACAGGGACATAAAAATATCCGATAATGCCCTGATCTTTGTAAAGATACCAATACGTTATCCAAAATTGGGCTTTTGTCATGGTGAAAATTCTCAAAACTAGCGATCCACAAATGAGTCGGAACTCTCATTATTTCTAAACATAGGCCCACATATTTCATCCGTATATCACGTCCAAAATACGGGTAATGCCAAATGTGTTGGGCTATTGGCGACTTTTTCGCTTGAAACCGTTTGCTTCGTAGATGTGAATACGCCTTCAAATTTCATGATGTTGGATCTTTAAGATAATTTTGCATTGAAATAGTAGCCTGCTCCCTTTACAAACCTTAAAATTACCATTACAGTTCTTATATCTCGGTAAATTTCAGGGGAAATTGCGAAAAATGCAACTTTTATGGATTTAAAAGTCAATTTAGGGTGGGGCTTGTTTCTGAGGAAACTCCATTGTTTTCTGTTCACTTATATCTATTATGACGTCATAATGAACATAACGTCAAATTGGTCGAAAAGTCATTAGCTTTTGGATTTTTCAAGATGAAAGACGCATTTTAACTTCGCTCTTGGAAATTTAAGTGGAAATCTTTCTACGGGAAACGAAAACAATGACTATCTTGTAAGTAGACCTAGTAAACACCATTTCATTGGTTTAAAATCTCCTTGATATTCTTTTTCTAGTTTTAAAAACACTTTGAAAATCTTCATGAACAATCAATTTTATTTCCCTTTTTTCTGTATATTTCAGATTACCAGTAATAAACTATATAGTGGATGAGATCGTATTGGAGTTTTTACGAACCAACCAATACCGAGACCAATCATCTTACTATAACAGTGAGTTCACACTTTTCATTATAGGTTATGCATGGAATCATCTTGTTCAGTCATGGCTGTGCGATATCTCTGGATTCCAAGCTTGTATCGTGCGGTCTCAGAAGCGACCAGGGACACAAAAACAGTCTAGCCTTGTAAAACCAGACTATCACCTTTTGGATGCACTGTGTCCAGCTGATCCATCAGATGGCCCTAGTGCTGCAATCTTCTTTTTTTTGGTTTTTAGAAAAAGTATAGCACGGATAGAAATAAGAAAACAGAAGGCTCTTAGAAAATCTTCATAGTATAAGCTTACTGTATTTTCAGCCCTTATTTGCCAAACAAGCTACAAACCTGCAGGGCGTACAGTTCCATTTCAATACACTACACTATTTCAAACACTAGCTAATGTCGTAAGAATTCGAACGTTACCAAAAATGGAAAGTTTGCTGTTACTTTTCAGGTGACTGGAACCACAATAACAAGAACTCAGTAGACGAGAACAATAACAACCAAGTCGAGTTTGATGATATTGGTGAGCTAGTCGGAGACTGGGCTACGGAACCCTGGGCACCGTGTGACGATGTCGACATTCCAGATTGGGCCAAGTTGGAAGGTAATATCCCCATTTTCTTTATTTTGAAGGCTATGTGCAAAAATTCGAAACGTTGGTGCAGTTTGTATTTAAGTCAATATCGACCAGCTAGAGTGGTTTAACAGCGACACGAGGATTACACAATATACTGTACACAGCTGACCCTTGTTCAACCATCACAATAACGGTCTTTCCTGGATCACATATTGCTATATAGGAATAAAATGTGTAAAACTTCTTAAGAATATGAGGCTGAATACCGATGTGTTGTATTAAATGTACATTTTATATATTTCAGGTCCAAAGGTCGAGGAAAGAAATGATTTAGTTTGGGCTGAAGATCCCTGGATCCAAACACCCCTTACTGATATCCCAGCCTGGATGCAGCTCTCTGGCATTGACTATGACGTACCAGAAGAGACAGGACACAAAGGTGGGAACCTCGATGATACCACGAACAACGACGAAGACTTTCTATCGTCATGCGTTGAAGTTGACAAGTGGTCGGACGAAGAGTTTTTACAATATCCACTTGATGTTCCTAGCTGGGCATTGCTCCCTGGAATAGACTATCCTACAAGGCGAGGAAAGAGTCTCTACTGGGAGAAACAAATACAGCGATATGAGAGAGTGAGAAATAGATTTAGTCGAAAGATCTATGGAAGAATAATGCCGACTATTCTAGAAGAGAAACTAGTGTATAATAATGATGCCAAACCAATGCTGTTTGTTCCTGGTAGATATTGTAGAATGTGTTATTGGTTCTAAAAAGTCCAGATACACACTTCAGTATTTTGACCCCGGTACTATCTTTGGACCACATGTCTTTCAACTATATTTTTGGATACTTTACTATGCATTTATATTTGGCACTATATATGTACTTTTGGCTATTTTTGGTCTGTATTAAAATTTCTATTTTTGGAATAAATAATAGTTGTTTATTCCATTATATACTCCTAATTCAAAACTCTCCACCCCCTACCCTAATGCTGATTTGTGACTTGGGCTCTAAATCAACCCCGGTTCCCCTACTCTTATCAAATTCACATGCATTCTGAAATTCTTAAACTGCAAGGAATTCCTGCAATTCCAAGAAAAGGCAATGTTATGATCTTTTGTCGCCATTTCGCGCCACTTGGATAAAGTCTATCTGAACTAAGTAAAGGTTACATGAAATTGTGTTCTGTCTTTAAACTGCCTAGAGTGAATTATGAAATCCTTGCATGTATAGCAAACTGGTTTTAAAGTGATATATCCGTCTAAAAAGCATCAGTTGATAGAGTCTTATGCATTTGTATTGTATGCAATGGGGATGTTGATAACGGCCCGGTAAGAGACTTCCGTGTACACTTCCGGTACGAAGCCTACTTTCGAGATGATTTTCTTCCTTAAAAGCAGTGGCCCAACTACCAAAGGGACTAGTCAAAGGGCCCCGCCCCTAAAGGGGCATCCACTATTAGACAAAAATGCAGGACAGCATATATATTTAAAAAAAGATTCTCGTTGAAGGTACCCCAACCCACTCAAGTTCATGGGCCCCAACTTATCTTGAAGGGCCACTACTTAAAAAATATTAACTGAAAGATCCAAACTGTGTTCCGTGACATCAAAGTATTGTTCGAGTAGAAAGACTTCATTTCCGCCATCTAAACATTATAGCACTATATTACTTTAAACTATTAGCACAAGATTGATGACATGTTGCTCAATATCTGGAACAAAACCATCAAATACTAACAAAAACTTACTTAAACTCTTCATCATGAAAGCTGTTTTTTTGTCCTTTGTCGTAACTTTTCTATTACCGTGACAAGCAACCTCGTTTTTTAAATGAAAATGATCTGATACAAAGAAATTTGAGATAAAAACAGAAAAAAATATTAAATAAAATACAAAATAAGATAAAATAGAGCAAATCGAATTAAAGCCATACTATAATATTTTCGAAATGTTTTTTGTAAGAAAATATTTTAAAGGGATTGTAACGAGGTTTTCTATATTTTGTATGTGTATCAGGGACACCGATAGCATCAATTTGCACCATTTCAAATTTAGTAAGACGTCTGTGGATCCTGTAATTCCTCTTAAACTAAGTATTTGATGACCTCACTAATCCTCACTAATTGCAAAGCATTCTTTGTAACATAAGACTCTTCGTGATTATTGACGTCATCAAACACTTAGTTTTAGTCGAATTGCAGGAACCACAGACGTTTGATTGGTGCAAATTGATGCTATCAGTGTCCTTGATACACATAGTTTTTCTTTGAAAACCTCATTTCAATGCCTTTGAGTGTATTATCTTGACATAGTTAAATAGAATCCATGCAATGTACAATCCTGTTGGAAACCTGTGACAAAAAATCGGTTCGGCAATTTTGATCCTTGGCCCATTTTTTTTTTTTTTGAAAGTTTGATCTTGACTCGTAATGAGCTTAGTATCCTGGTCCCTCTCTCTTTAGCACCGATATTTGTCTTCGTTCTATGGGACTACATATTACTTATGACCTTTCTAAGTTGTTCCTTTATCAAGTGAAGCTTGGCAGCACTGATTCCCAAGATAATACGAACATGGTTTCAGAAAAACCGCAACACGCATTATTTTGCTCAGTCCGATAGGTAATCAGTCTCTCATCGCCATTTTCTTGTCGCTTGGTGTATTACTCGTTGACCCAAAAACATGGTTTGTATCCGTTATCTCAAACCAGGCTTGAATACTTTCGACTCTGGTTTAGAGTAATTCTGATATTGGCCTCACGAACAGGAATGTTTTCGCCTAAGATATGAAGGTCCACCTTTACAATTTTACATTGAAAAATATCACCCTTACGACAAAATTACGACTAAAAACATCCCAAAACGGTTGTCTGAAGATGTCTACTTGTAAAACTTCAGCAGAGACACTATGCATCATGTACCTCTGACTTATTTCAGGCGCAATTTGCAAACTTAATGCAAAAAATTCATGTGAACTGATCAGGAATTTGAAGGAGGAGTTAAATTTCCTACTCAATATCAATAGAGTGTTTACAGTAATGATTAGATCCAATGAAGCAATAAACACCTGTGATTTAATAACTAACATATCTATTTATTCCATTCTACATCATTTATTTTAAACTCTTCACTTGTCTATTAACTACTTCCTAAATGTTTACTGGTTAAAGGAACTGGTTGATAGGTGGCATCTAGCTGGTATTGCAGACAAGGTAGTTGTTGGTAGTCGTATTGGTTTGTAGTAGGATCTGAATCGATTCGATAGTCCAGCAGTGTTTTGGGAGATGTCAAGATAACGCTGCTTCCAGCTAACTGATATCACAAACTAGGTAGTTGTTAAAAGATGATAAGTTAACGTACGCTTCCAGCTAACTGATATCACAAACTAGGTAGTTGTTGGAAGATGATAAGTTAACTTCCGCTTCCAGCTAACTGATATCACAGACTGGGTAGTTGTTGGTAGATGATAAGTTAACGTCCGCTTCCAGCTAACTGATATCACAGGCTAGGTAGTTGTTGGTAGATGTCAAGATAACGCTGCTTCCAGCTAACTGATATCACAAACTGGGTAGTTGTTGGAAGATGATAAGTTAACGTACGCTTCCAGCTAACTGATATCACAGGCTAGGTAGTTGTTGGTAGATGATAAGTTAACGTCCGCTTCCAGCTAACTAATATCACAGACTAGGTAGTTGTTGGTAGATGTCAAGATAACGCTGCTTCCAGCTAACTGATATCACAAACTAGGTAGTTGTTAAAAGATGATAAGTTAACGTACGCTTCCAGCTAACTGATATCACAGACTAGGTAGTTGTTGGTAGATGATAAGTTAACGTACGCTTCCAGCTAACTGATATCACAGACTGGGTAGTTGTTGGTAGATGATAAGTTAACGTCCGCTTCCAGCTAACTGATATCACAGGCTAGGTAGTTGTTGGTAGATGTCAAGATAACGCTGCTTCCAGCTAACTGATATCACAGACTGGGTAGTTGTTGGAAGATGATAAGTTAACGTACGCTTCCAGCTAACTGATATCACAGGCTAGGTAGTTGTTGGTAGATGATAAGTTAACGTCCGCTTCCAGCTAACTAATATCACAGACTAGGTAGTTGTTGGTAGATGACAAGTTAACGTCTGCTTCGAACTAACTGATATCACAGACTAAGCAGTAAACGTCGGTTTTGTGCTATCTAAAATGGCAGACTAAAATATTATCCGAATAACTAGACGCTTTTTGCATGCCAGTCCACCCGTTTTGATACAGACAAGACATAAGCTTTACTGATATGAAACATGTAAAGTTACAGAATTCAGCCGAACCTTCCCTTTAAATAGCTTGTCAATTACCGAGACCCGTTCTCTATCAACAGCCAACTCGAGGTGTATTGAAAACGTTGATTGAATTTCGATCCCTAAAGAAATTAACCCTGGTTTAAATCATGTGAATACATACAATTTTAACTTTCAATTTATTTTGAAATTATTTTCTTCGTTCTTCATCTCATTATTGATGCTGTGTTTGGTTCCTAGTAATTTCAACAGCCATCGTAGCTATTTCAGAATGAATGATATTTACATGACCTTCTCAATTCCACAAAATAAGGATTCCTGAAATTAAATTGTCCATAAAAATACTCCCAAACGTCTTCTTAATACATGTGGTATAATTATGTTTTTTTTTATATTTCCATTTATTTGTAAATTAGATAAAAAAGATAGAGTAATTTTGTTGAAAATGGAAGATTTTTGTTATTGTTTAGTTGTTTTTTGGTTGCGTCGTAGGCTATAAACGGTGGCCTTGGGCTTTAAATCTCGGTCGGAGTGTGTAAGTTGGGTGATCTTAAATGAGATACCTTTCTTAATAATTAAGAGGCATTTCACATTTCCATTGACTCTATAAAGTACACAAGCGCAAGTAGAAAAATGAGAAGTAGGATTCCATTTGATATAAACTTATTTTATTTAACAAACATCCTGGTTTAATAAACTCTCCCATGAGAGTCGGGTCTGTAAACAGATGTAACACTGTATCCAATTTGTCGACTCGGGTCGAAGATATGACAAATTTTGTGTGAATAAAAGCCGATATGCCCTCCAGGGACCAGCTCGCAAATATTGAAACATGGTAGTCCGAGAAACGTTTGTCTGCCACTGAGAAACACTGTGTTCATGATAGAAGTACACAAAAAACCGATGAAAATGAACACCTGCTGTCACTATATGTCGGTTTTCAGTCGTATATCCTTGTCCGAGAGTTCTGATTATCATTTTGGTACTTTTCTAGGACTGGCTAATGTACATTTACTATGATTACTATGTTTAGTGAGACAGAGGTATTCTTTGAGCTTGTCTTGGTTTCTCATATTTTAAAAAGTAATGTAGTAGCAGGAGAAGGTGCGGGAAACACCATCTGTTTTTCAGTGATACCTCCATTCCAAAGAAAACAATCGATTTATTTAAGAAGATTATGACAGTTTATGTTCCGTTCAAAACGCCAACATACCTCTTCTGATTTGTCAAAATTAAAGATTTTCGCACCATGTAATTCTCAGTCTCGATCTTCTCCATAATGTAAACTACTATACAACCCTGCCTATCGTGGTCCAGTAAGAATAAAAATAGAACGATCAGAGAAAATGACGAACTGGATATCACAGAATAATCAATCATGGTCGAGAATATTATAAGACTAATATTATAACTTTAAATGTGATGGATTGAGTTGGAATATTCAAATTTCACTTCACTAGAGCATCTTATTTCATAC